CTAGCATTCTGCATAGGAATGCATTTCTGCTCGCACTGTGGTGCCACTGCCCCTCCACCCAGTCTCCAGGATGCCCAGGCACAGCACACACACTGCCTGCCACTTACTGGCCGTCCTAGGATGTCAATCTGCCTCTCCAGATCCTCCAATAGGGTCACCACCTCCTCCCCACTCTCCAGCCGATGTTCCTTCACCAGGGCCTGCAGCTCCGGGGGCAGGATGCTCAGGAACTGCTCCAGCACCAGCAGCTCCAGGATCTGCTCCTTGCTCTTCAAATCTGGCCTCAGCCACTGATGGCAAAGTGCCCGGAGTTGGATCAGAGCTTCTCGGGGTCCTTGTGTCTCCTGGTAGCACAGCTTCCTGAATCGCAGGCGGAATAGCTCCTGGCCAGGAGGGTTGTGTTCATGTGGACTGGATTCCTGGTCCCAACCATGATCCTCCTCAACCTTGACAATGACAAGGTCCTCTTCAGGGGCCTGGTTGGATGGAGATGGGGCTAAAGACTTGCTTGATTCTGCAGCCATGTAGGGCCTGGAAAGATGAGGAGACTTGCTTCCACCACCTTCTTTATCTTCTTAAGAGAAGGACCTTCTGAGAGGCTCTTCTTTAAAGGACTTCTTTACAAACAGAAAATGCAAGTGTTAGGGGAAGTCAAAAGTCACAGTGATTTACTGAGACATCTTAACAAGCTCCCTACCATGCCATGGACATCACAGCTCAGTTGTTTAAGGGACCCTCTGCACTCTTGCAGAAGGATTGCCTGACCTCCATAGCCTCTGTCATGCCCAACCATGTAGGGAATAATCCCTTCTTTCTGTTCTCTCTCATTGGGGATGTGGAACATGGGTAAACAAGGTCAGGAAACCTGATTGACTGCATCTAACAGAAGTTCTGGCCCTCAGAGCGGATGACAAATTCTTTCAGCATTTCCACACTAGTTGTACTGTTTCTACACACTTCAGGTCTCTACCTGTCCCCCTCTCTCAACAGATGAGACTAATCTATTTATATAAAAGCCTCAGTGACCATTACGAACCAATGACCAGAATGACGGGAATGAGTGGTTGACCAGTCACTATGACGCACACTTACCACAGGGGGGCAGACGCTCCACACAAGGACTGCCCCCGGTGGTCAGTATGCTTCCACAGTGGGAGCGCTGCTCAGCCAGAAGCGGGGCTCAGGGAGCCTCTCCGGCCTCTGCAGCAATGCTACTGAGCTGCAGCAGCAGGCGCAGTGGGGCTGGTGTGAGTGGGAGTGGCATGGCACCCAGAGCCGGCTCAGGCTCCTCCTCAGCCGCCTGCCACTTAGCGCACTGCTACATACCTTGTACACCATAAGCTTGCAGTTACAATCTCCAGAGAACGGTTGAAGCGTTAAAGCGCGGACACTTGGAGTAACCAGGACAGGCCTGATATCGCCACTGGGTTCCTGGAACTGTGACACTTGGAGTAACCAGGACAAGCCTGATATCGCCACTGGGTTCCTGGAACTCTGTCTCGTGCATCGAGATCAAATCTCATCCCTTACCGACTGCCCTGGAGCTACAGAGGAAGGCAGCAACGTAACAGTGGCCACAAGCGGCAACTGACAATCAGGGTAAAAGTCAAAGAGAGATGGATCTGAAGGGTGGGGATGTGGGCAACAGAGCACCCCCATCCCCCAAGATCCCCAACTTTGTATTGTTCACATCAGAGTGTCTCTTATCTGGCTCTGAGTGGTGGAAAGCATCCAGCACAGCCCAAGGCGTCCACCAGGGACCTCCAGGCCAGCAAGGCATGACCCTGGCCGCAGAAGGGACACTTGCAAATATTTTTTCAGGAAGATGCGGGGAGAAGAGACTCCCCACGTGACTTCCCAGTGGCTCGAGGGGACGTGGAAACTCCACGGGCACTCGGGCGTGGGCTCCTGATTTCCTTTCAATGTGCACAAATCCGTGCACCAGGCCGCTAGTTTCCAAATAATGTAGCTCAAGGTACTGACAGGGTCTGTCCTTTTCCTCCTGACACACATTACCCTGGCTGGGCTCCCACCTTCCCTCCCATCTCAGGGCTAACTTCTAGTGTGGACCTTCTTTCGACCTTTGTCTCTTTAGAACACCTGGTCCTGCATCTCCAAGGAACCTGGATGCCCCGTCACCACCTGCAACCCCAAAGTCAGATCCCCAACACTATCGACCTGCCAGAATGTTTTATTTTATTTTATTAATTTTAAAAAATATATTTTATTGATTTTTTTTACAGAGAGGAAGGGAGAGGGATAGAGAGCTAGAAACATCGATGAGAGAGAAACATCGATCAGCTGCCTCCTGCACATCTCCTACTGGGGATGTGCCAGCAACCCAGGCACATGCCCTTGACCGGAATCGAACCCGGGACCCTTCAGTCCGCAGGACGCCGCTCTATCCACTGAGCCAAAACGGTTTCGGCAGAAATGTTTCTTAATGTAAAATTATCCAGGCATCACCACCATTTTCTGAATTCTCTACAAAGAGCTGAATAACGTAATAGCAAAAATAGGTTACCATAGATAATTGGGCCTTCCTTAAGCAAAATATGTCTTTTTTAAAAAATGAGAATTTTATTGTGACGGAATGCAACATTGCTGTGTAAAAGTAATTCACTTGGTGGAAACAGCTGTTAAAAGACAACGTGGGAACCTTTTCCTATTTTAGTACAAATAAACTGGACTGCAAAGAACACCACTAATCCATGAGCGATGAAGAAACGAACCTTCATGAAAGGTTCCCTGGCAAGAAGTTTGGGGACGCGTATACGGCCGGTGGCGATCCCCGTAGTCCGGGCGACACCTCGGTCCGGCCCGCTCGGAACCTCAGGCGTTCCCAGCAGCGGGCGGTCTGGCCACAAAGCGCCCTTCGGGCCCGGGGCGAACGGTACTTACCGCGAGGACTGGGCGCGGCCCAAGGCGGGGAAGGGAGACTGCGGATGGCGGACGCACCAGGGGGAAGAACGGGTAGGAAAGGGGGCGAGAGCCGAACACGACCGGGACCTCCGGCCCCCAACTTCCACACCAGCTGGGGGACATCAGCCGTCAATGCGCAGCTCGTCCAGACACTTCCGGCACCTCTAGGAATCCGGGAGGACTGAAAGCTCTATGGTCGGCGCTCCGGGCTCCTCCCGCGCCTGCGCGTCGCAGGGTCTCCGGGCCGCGGGGGCCGCGGAGCCGAGAGGCCGCACCTGGAGAGAAGGTACCCATGGCGCTGATCGCAGGTCTTGGGTGGTGCCGTTCAGATGCCCCTGTAGTTGGGTATTCTCTTCAAATGCATATCTAGTCTTTGAGGAATTCCTGTTAATCGTCACAGGGTCACCTTAGTTCAAATTATCCTATATAATAAAAACCTAATATGCTAAGTGTCTGGTCATCTGTTCAACCAAAGTGTAAAATGCTAAAGATATGCTAAGGCCACTCAATTGCTCACTAGGACGTGCACTGACCACCAGCCCACCCGGATTAAGCAAGACGGGTCGGACACACCCTGGAGCCCTCCCGTGGTCCCTCTCCGGACCCAATCGTGCACCAGTGGGGTCCCTCGGCCTGGCTTGCACCCTCTCGCAACCTGGGTCCCCTCAGGTGATGTTGGAGAGCTAGTTTCAACCTGATCCCACAGGCCAGGCCGAGGTACCCCACTGGTACATGAATTCGTGCACTGGGCCTCTAGTTAGATTATATTGACTTTAATAATCATTTTCCTTCCATTAGAATACACCCATTTTTTTTTAAGGCTTAAAAGGTAACATTATTACCAAACTGTTTTCTTCTGGAGTGTTTCCATTTTATTTCCTGCTGCTATTGCAGCCTCCTCAGGTGTCTCTTTTGCTACTTCCTTGAACTCAGAATCACACAATATCAAAGCCAGAAGGTACCTTACCTGTGTTTGATTGAGACAGCAATGCCTTGACAACTTTTTGCAGCAGTAAAAATGGTCTACACCTGTGCTGTGCAATACAGTAGCTGCTCGCCACATGTGACTAAGAGCACGGACATGTGGTCATGTCACCACAAACTGAACTTCCCATCCTATGTGTGTTTAGATGTAAATGGCCACTTGTGCATACTGGCTACATTGGACCAACCTCTGCCTCAGTTTACAGCAGCAATTTTCAACCTTTTCCATCTCATGGCACACATAAACTAAGTACTAAAACTCTGTGGCACACCAATATTTCTATATTTTTGCTGATCTGACAATAAAAAGGGGTATAACATTGGTTAATTCATACTGGATGCCTATTGTGTTGGCTGCTGTCATTTTTTTATTTAACAATCAAGGGAAAAGAGGTCAATGCCCCTGACTATATAGTCAGGTTTGCATGTTTTAAAAATTCCTGCAGCACACTGGTTGAAAATTGCTGGTTTACAGTGAATGGGGACTCAGAAGAAAAGTGACTTATCTGAAGTTAAGGATCCCTAATACACTCATTATCCCCCTGTACTGGCACCTCCTACTCCTAACTATGCTTTCCTTCCCATTTGGTCTTCTTTAGTATGATGACTTTTAAGTTGCCTCCTTTCTATCAGTGCTAAAGAAAAATTTTGAACAAAATGAATACAGCCCCTAGTTGAAGATAAAAAAGCATTAAATATTTAGGCCATTATATCAAAAATGATGTGAAAAAATAGTATTGTCTTAATGTTTTCGCCTGGCTGGCATGGCTGGGTGGTTGAGCATCAGCCTATGAACCAGAAGGTCCCAATTTGATTACTGGACATGGCACATGTCTGGGTTGTGGGCTCAATCCCCAGTTGGGGGGAGGGGGGAGGGCGTTGTTCAGGAGGCAGCCGATCCATGATTATATGTCATCATGATGTTTCTATCTCTCTCTCCCTCTCCCTTCCTCTCTAACATCAATTAAAATATATTTTAAAAAGTTTTCATTACCTTGGCTGGTTTTTCTCAGTGGCTAGTGTTGACGGTTGGATTCCAGGTCAAAGGCTCAAACCTTGGTTGCAGGTTCCCCAGACCACAGAGAGGCATGTGTGGGAGGCACCAATTGACACGTCTCTCACGTCCATGTTTCTCTCTTTCTTTCCCCCTCCTGCTTCCCTTCCACTCTCTCTAGAAATCAATACAAAAAATATCCTCTGGTGAGGATTAAAAAAAAAAAAAAAGAAGTTTTCATTGACTTTAGAGAGGAAGAGGGAGAGAGAGAAACATTGCTGCCTCTCATGCACCCAGACCAGGGATCAAATCTGTGACCTTTCAATAGAAGACGCCCAACCAACCAAGTCACAACAGCCAGGGCTTAGTTCTTAATTTCAGAAGCAATTTTCATAAATTTCAACTTAATACATATCTGGAGGGCCTGTCCCACCATCGGCAATTCACAGAAGGTAAATGAAGGCAGAGAACTGGAATGCCTTTGCCTAAAGTCATACACTGAATGGTTAATAAAAAAAGGGTTGCAAGTTGGAATTCATTGTCTTTCAACGAGGAAACAGTTCTCTTGGACTGGAACAAGCACTGCTGTTTATGGTCAAGGGTTTCTGAAGTAACTTTAAAAAAGAAAACACTTTAATTTTTGTTTTTTTAGAGAGAAGAAGGGAGAGTGAGAAAGGGAGGGAAATATTGATGTGAAAGTGAAACATTAATCAGCTACCGCTTGTATACCCCCCTACTAAGGATCAAGCCTGCAACCTGGGCATTTGCCCTGACGGGGAATTAAACAAGCAACCTTTTGGTGCATGGGTCAACGCCCAACGGAGCCACACCAGCCAGGGCTCTGAAGTAAGAAACTGAACTGCTTTAGAAATAAAAGCAAATTTTATTCAGGTTCTGTGGTACCAGAGAAATTTTTGATGATGGAAGCTTTGCCTACATTCAGGAAACTTATAAGGTCCCTAATTAGGTCTGGACAGCAAAGGAACTGTTGTTACTGACCCCTTATTAGTAGAGCTCTTTTGCTGCATGAACTCTTTGATGTCGAATAAGGGCTGAACTTACCCGAAAAGGCCTCCCACACTCATAGCATTCATAGGGTTTTTCACCTGTGTGGATTCTCTGATGCTGAATAAGACCTGAGCGTCCACTAAAATCTTTTCCACATTCTTCACATTTATAGGGTTTCACTCCAGTATGCACTCTGTGATGTCCGATGAGATGTGAGCGTTGATTGAAGGCTTTTCCACATTCGTTACATTTATAGGGTTTTTCTCCAGTGTGAGTTCTCCTGTGCTTGCTAAGGGCTGAGTTGTAACTAAAACTCTTCCCACAGTCATCACACTTACAGGGTCTTCTTTCGCTCGGCCGCCTCTCTAACCTGCCCTCACTTTCAGTTGCATTTTTGGATTCGGGATGTTGAGGAAGGACTTGGTTCAGTCTGTTATTTGCCTTCCTAAGGAATTCCATGTCCTTTGCAATATCTCCCTTTTGGAACAACTCGTCATGCTCAGGTCTGGTTTTGTCACCTATAACAAATGGCCTAGTTTAGGTTTGAGAAGCAAAAGCCTATGGAAGACAGAACATGCAAAATGTTACAAACGTGTTATGAGAAAATGGAAAGCCACACACAATGTACAAATTAGGTCTTTAGCACCATCCAAACACATGCTGACAGGGAAGACAGTGAGAGGCCTGGGAGGAAGACAGCAGCAAGACATGACGCCCGGGAACAGATTAGGAAGAGATCAAGGGGTTACCGGGCAAACCTGTACAAAGGCAGAGTGGTAAATGGTGAATGTACATGGGGACTATAGACATTCTGAGGATAATTAATAGGGATCTAAGAGGAATGTGTTGAGTAGAAACCACCAAAAGGGAAGGAAAAGGCAGGAGGGGACAGTGGGTGGCCTGGTTCATGTGCTGGGTTGAATCTATCAGTCCTTATCTTGTGTCCTGTTAGGAAAACCAACTATGTCTGGTGGACTCTTCCCTGGGTTTCAGTGAAACCCCCTTTCCGCTTCTCTTACGTCTTCTATAGTCCTTCACAGAGTCCTCCTCCTCCACCCAAACTGGGTTTCTTTTGC